TTTCAAAGATATCCGAAATTGTCATTGAAAATTCGGACGGTCAACATTTGTTCTGATGGGAAGAATGATCTCCTAGTCCACGGCCACAATAACAATGTGAGTTTGAAAACCATTTCTCTTATTTTTCCGGATTCTTTTGGAAAATGAAAGACGTTGGTATTTTCCCCCTGTATTTCGAAGCTAACCAGTAATTTTTTTAATATGGCGAGCCCTGATATCTATTTTCCCATGCTCCATATATTTTCACAGACTTTCCAACCCATCCGTCACGGTCTACCATTTACGTGTTATGGGAAAATGAAACATCATGGACTTAGTGTCAGGTTGCTAAAGAGACACACGGTTCTTGTTTCAGGATATTCCCATGCATCGTTGAGGTGTTACCTGTGGGAAAGGGGCGTGGCTTCCCAAGTAATGTGAAGACAGAAATTCTGAGAAAAAACCAACATGAGAGCAGGACATTCATCATTTCTGATTTTTTTTCTTCCGCCCGGTTCGTTATTGTTTCACCATCTTTCTTATTGCCTTCAATTTTCGTATTGTGTAATGAATTTGAATATTTTAGATTATCTATCATGCATCCAACTGTCTATGATATGCCTTATTTGATCCAAAAATCGAAAGTGGAGAAAAAGCGAGTGGCAGACTGTAAAAATGTTATTGAAGAAATGAAATCTACTCTGATTTCCAAAGGTTACAGATTGCCCAAACAAATGACCTCGTAAGTTGTTTTTGAATTATACAATAGTAGATAAATGTAGTTTAAAGGTTCAATGTTTTTGATCAATACAATTAATGAAAAATTCTTTCAGGCAAGAACTCATCCTTTTTGAAGTTGTTATGGTCTTGAAAGGAGTCGATTTGAAACTTGATTTTAGCAAACGAGTCCTTCGAACAACACCAGAAAAAATGACCAGGGAAGAAAGACAAGAATTGAAAAAAACAAGAGAGCAGTATCGAAGGAACAAAATTGATGCAGCTTGTTCACATTTAGAAGAGTTCCTCATCATGAACGATTTGAACGGAATATTTGGGTAAGTAAAAACAATCATTTCAAAACTTTGGATATAATGAATCGCGGAAATTGTTAGTAAACTACATGTGTTCCAGGTATCATTAAATTTGAGAGTTTTTTGAGTTTGAATATTCAGGGGCCAGTAGCATAGTTTTTTCACATATTCTTTTTATCCCAATATTTTTTTCAGATCAAAATTGACGCGACTCCAAATGCTGCAACTTGTCAGAGACCGTCTCAAAGCTCTCCCAGATATCACCTCTCAGGCTCCATTGTCACCATCTCTCAAACACAGCATTGCTGGAATTCTTGCCTCTCGGAAAAGTTCAACTCCGCCCTCATTCATTGACATGCCTGCTACTGGCCCCTGAATATTCAAACTCAAAAAACTCTCAAATTTAATGATACCTGGAACACATGTAGTTTACTAACAATTTCCGCGATTCATTATATCCAAAGTTTTGAAATGATTGTTTTTACTTACCCAAATATTCCGTTCAAATCGTTCATGATGAGGAACTCTTCTAAATGTGAACAAGCTGCATCAATTTTGTTCCTTCGATACTGCTCTCTTGTTTTTTTCAATTCTTGTCTTTCTTCCCTGGTCATTTTTTCTGGTGTTGTTCGAAGGATCGTTTGCTAAAATCAAGTTTCAAATCGACTCCTTTCAAGACCATAACAACTTCAAAAAGGATGAGTTCTTGCCTGAAAGAATTTTTCATTAATTGTATTGATCAAAAACATTGAACCTTTAAACTACATTTATCTACTATTGTATAATTCAAAAACAACTTACGAGGTCATTTGTTTGGGCAATCTGTAACCTTTGGAAATCAGAGTAGATTTCATTTCTTCAATAACATTTTTACAGTCTGCCACTCGCTTTTTCTCCACTTTCGATTTTTGGATCAAATAAGGCATATCATAGACAGTTGGATGCATGATAGATAATCTAAAATATTCAAATTCATTACACAATACGAAAATTGAAGGCAATAAGAAAGATGGTGAAACAATAACGAACCGGACGGAAAAAAAATCAGAAATGATGAATGTCCTGCTCTCATGTTGGTTTTTTCTCAGAATTTCTGTCTTCACATTACTTGGGAAGCCACGCCCCTTTCCCACAGGTAACACCTCAACGATGCATGGGAATATCCTGAAACAAGAACCGTGTGTCTCTTTAGCAACCTGACACTAAGTCCATGATGTTTCATTTTCCCATAACACGTAAATGGTAGACCGTGACGGATGGGTTGGAAAGTCTGTGAAAATATATGGAGCATGGGAAAATAGATATCAGGGCTCGCCATATTAAAAAAATTACTGGTTAGCTTCGAAATACAGGGGGAAAATACCAACGTCTTTCATTTTCCAAAAGAATCCGGAAAAATAAGAGAAATGGTTTTCAAACTCACATTGTTATTGTGGCCGTGGACTAGGAGATCATCTTCCCATCAGAACAAATGTTGACCGTCCGAATTTTCAATGACAATTTCGGATATCTTTGAAATTTCCGGTGATAAATGTGTAAAAAAACGTTTTTTGCCTGTAATCTGTTTTACAAAATCTATGTTAATTCACAATTTTACCTCTGCTCTGTAAAAAGTTTTAATTTTCGAATGAACATGGCAAAACATTTTTTGAAAAAAACAGAAAATGTTTTGCCATTTTGCTCTACCTGCGCATCTTATATTTTTTTTGTGTTAGTCCAGGGGATGGACATTTTTTCCACCAATATCTAAGAAAAAGCAAAACGACACTTCGGGTACTTCCCTTGAAAGATGGTTGAAAAAGTTGTCTGATTCCATGAACCCCGAACAACAAATTTTAACGGTTTGATGAATGTTGATATCCGGGTTTGCAGTGAATTTTATTTAACCAAGATGATGTTGGAAATGACTGGATAGACGGTAGTCAAAAAGTACAAGGTTCGGGATATATGGTGGATAAAACAGAATTGCCCAGTCGTGTCTTGCAAGATCGGTTGGGTGTTCCTTGCCGCACGAGGTTGCGGATTTCAACTTTGAAAATAACCCGTTGCGCTTTTCCCCAATAGAAATCTTCATGAAGTCTGAGTTTTGTCACATGACAAGACTCGGTATCGGCCGTAATAGTGACACCATCATCCAGCAGCTATCGATACTCTCATGCTTGATAGACCACCACACCGACAACACTCCATTTTTAACATGGATTTCACGTTTCGAGACGTCAGGTTGATTGACTTTGTCAACCCACTTGGCATGTCGCTTATTGTAATCATACATTTACCTATTTATCACCAATAGTAATGCTTTGATTCCATCATTCATGTGTGCAATGCAGAATGAAATGATTCAAGCAGGTGTCCATACTTGTGTCCAAGTTGCTTTGAGCCAAAATGTGTGGTCCATATCTTCACACTTTTTTTGACTCTACCGAGAGTTTCCAATCCGAGGCTTTATGATAAAAGGCTTGCCACTGATGTACTTAATGACTCCCGCACAGTCAAGTTTTCCAAAATGAAGAAACTGTGGCGGTCTCAAATGTTATCAACTACCTGACCTTCCAATTTGGTATTTACTTCAATGATATTGTCCAGTATACCTTAAGAGTTTTCCTAAAAATTCGAAATTTGAAGTGAACTGATATGGCCAGCAGTGTAGAACCTCATTTTGGCACATTTTTTTGTACAATCGCTGGTCAAAAAGAATTGTGTGAAACAATTGTACTTTCCGGGGAAAATTCTGAAATCCATTTTTCGGCACATAATTCGGAGGGTACAACAATTCGGGGGTACAAGGGGGTAAAAAGTAATTTAGTGGGTACGAAACCCACAATTCAGTT